TCCAAATTGTTTAAACTTTAAACATTAAAAGAAGTAATTATGAAAATGAAAAAAAAAAAAAATAATTTCAAAATAAAATTCACCATAGAACTTAATATTGCTAATAAAAGTTTTCTTGAATTTTTGTCTCCTGCAAATCCCAATATCTCTGCAATCCAATCCAAACATCATCGTCCAACCCTTCTGGCTTTTCCGTTCCGTCGATCCACTTCTGCTTCCAATCGTTCATGTGGTCCAAGTACTGTAAAGCAACCATCTTTATGAACTCCCGAATGAGCCTCGTAAGCTAAGATTGCCAAGTAAAATCTTGTTGTAAATTAGAAACAAAAAAAATAATATTAGTCATTTATTTGATATTATAACAAAATATTTTGTAAAAATATATAATTTTCTATCAATTACCGTAAAAGAGCGCAACCACATTTCTTTTTCTTCATCTGGAAAATCATTCCATGTCCGATATGGATGGCGGAGGAATCCATGCAACATTTTCTGAAATGACTTATTAATTAATGGATTATTGCCAAACATACAAATAAAACAAATAACAGATATTAGGTTAAAAGAGAATTACTAAAAATCTAATTATAAAAATAAAATATTTATTATTTTTACCAGGACGATGTTCCCTCGCGAAAAAATGTAGTTTTGGGATAAACNCTCGGCATGGTTGTTGCACTAGCTCTTCAACCGTCAGTTGCTCGCGCGATACGCAAAATTTGTTCAGATTTGGAGTTCCGTCATCACTCCTTAATGTACGTGACTTATAAATCTAATTATAAGCCTAATTTTATGTAGGTTATACAAAATTACATTTATAATGTATATATCAAAATTACATATAAATGTAATATATTCCAAAATCGTATAAATCACGTTTTTGATAATAAATATATAAATGTATATGTTTTAATATAACAAAATTTCATGTAGAATTTTCTTTTAGTATATAAATCGTTTCTAATATTCCAATTTCACATTTTTAGAATATAAAAACATGATTAGTATACACAAAACCAGTTTATAATATTAAAAAAAACATTTTCTAATAAACTTTTGATATAAAAAACAATCTAACACTAAATTCATCACTTTTTCACAACTTTACAACCCAAAATCACCATTACCCAATCTTAACCACCTAATCTAACAAAATCACATTCATAAACCTATAATATTCAAATTATATATATGAAACAAACAAATTACTTGATAATACACAAGAAAACTTACATATTTTCGGAAGAATCTAGAGAAAAAAGGGAGGAAAAACGTTTAGAGAGAGAGAGAGTAAATTTGGAGAATGAAAGAGAAAATATCTGATCTGTCCAATTTATTGAGATTTTCCTACGGATTTTCAACCGAAAGTGCCGTTGGAAATGAAATCCGTCGGAAATCCGTCTACATTTTAAATTGTACCGCGAAATTAAAATTCATTCAAAAAAATTTGGCGGTCAAAATCCAAAATTCAAAATCGGTTGGAAATCCGTGGGAAATTTTCGACGGATTCCCCACGGCAATTATGTTTTTCATTAAAAATATTAAGTCGTTGGAAATCGGTTAGAAATTTCCCACAGATTTACTCGGAATTAGGGTATAGGGTATGCAAAATTGATGTAAACAACGTCAAAATACATTATACTGAAAGAATATTATCATCACCCTACAAAAACATGTTTAAATTTAATTTATGTGTAATGTACAAAACATGTATGCAAAAATGAAAATAACTCTAATGATGTATACTATTACTTAAACTAAAAGTTGTAAAACTCTTATGTAGAAATTATGACATTCTAAAATGAAAGCAAGTTATTTATCATTTTATTTGATCAACTATATTTTATATATAACTTATCTTGTAGGATTACCTTTTTAAATATAGAACTAAATTTTGTAACTCTAAACCACATTCTCTAGGAAATCTGTGGAAAACTTTTCCTGGGATTTCGACGGAATATGCTGGCCGTCGGAAATTCGGAGAAAAATTCTTTTCGATTTCCAACGGAATGCGTTTTCCACGAATTTCCGACCGATTTTTCCAACCGAATTCCGACGGGATGAGTTTTCCACGGATTTTCAACCGGTTTTTCCAACCGAATTTCGACGGAATGAGTTTCGTCGGAAAATTCCAACCGATTTTGGATTGAGATTTTTCCCATCGAAATTCGGTCTAAAATATGTCGCAATTCCGTGGCAAATTTCTGACGGGTTATAGTTCGTCCGAAATTCCGTCTGAAATTGGCATGTTTTCTTGTAGTGTATGGGTCAAAGTCAAACATAATAAGCCATTGGGCTCTGAACAATCACGAGGCCCATTATCAATATCTCATAAAAAGCAAAACGTGTGGAACAAAACGTCATACGTTTCGTACAACCAAGACAGCTGGCTAATATTCATTGAATGCTCTCGATCTTATCCTTCTATATGTATTGTACAAAGGGATAACATGTAAAAAAGTAAAAAAAGGAAATATTGAAGAAAAAGCTCCATGTTTTCGTCTTTCTTTTTACCAAAGTTATCAGTCTC